TTTTTCTAATAAGTTTGTTATTTTTCCATTGAACCGTCTACCTCTTCATTCACAGGATATTGCTCCAACCACCACTATCCAGACTGATTGAAGCAGGGTTTGGATCTCCTAAAAGATCCTAAGGCAAATAACACTAGAGCCAGGTGACATTGTGACTCTCTCTTTGTGAGTGTAGCTCAATTACATGATATAGATCTGTCGTCTATCTTTACAGAATTACGGTATATACAAAAAGGAGACAGGAAAGTATATGTATTTATTTTAGCTCCACACTGTGTATATTTTTTTTAGTTATCAGTAAGGATGTGTGTTAAGAGGATTTCCCACAAGTGTGTTGAGTTCTATACCACTGTATTGCTGCATTATTTGATGTATTAGTGTTTGCTCTTTGACATAGGCGTGCACAGCCTATTGCATTAGGGTGTGCACCCTAAAGCACAAGCACACGCCGCATATATATATATATATATATATATATATATACACACACACACACACATACACTGCTGTGTGTGTGTGCTGTGTGAGCCTGCTGTTAGTGTGATGTGTGTGTGAGGGTGCTGGTAGTGTACTATGTGGGTGAGGGTGTTTGTGTGCGCGCTTGTGAGGGTGCTGTTAATGTACTGTGTGTGAGGGTGCTGTTTGTGTGTGTGAGGGTGCTGTTAATGTACTGTGTGTGAGGGTGCAGTTTGTGTGTGAGGGTACTGGTAGTGTTCTGTGTGTGTGTTTGTTAGGGTCCTGTTTGTGTTTAAAAGAGGTTACTGTTAGTGTGCTGTGTGTGTGTGAGGGTGCTGTTTGTGTAATGTTTGTGAGAGTGCTGTTTGTGAGGGTGCTGTGTGTGTTGGTGCTGTATGTGTGTTGGTGCTGTGTATGTCTGTGGGTGCTGTATGTGTGTGGGTGCTTTATGTGTGTAGGTGCTGTGTATGTCTGTGGGTGCTGTGTATGTCTGTGGGTGCTGTATGTGTGTAGGTGCTGTGTATGTGTGTTGTGTGCTGTATGTGTGTGGGTGCTGTATGTGTGTAGGTGCTGTGTATGTCTGTGGGTGCTGTATGTGTGTAGGTGCTGTGTATGTCTGTGGGTGCTGTATGTGTGTAGGTGCCGTGTATGTCTGTGGGTGCTGTATGTGTGTGGGTGCTGTGTATGTCTGTTGGTGCTGTATGTGTGTGGGTGCTGTGTATGTATGTGTGTGCGGTGTATGGGTGCTGTATGTCTGTGGGTGCTGTGTATGTCTGTTGGTGCTGTATGTCTGTGGGTGCTGTGTATGTCTGTGGGTGCTGTGTGTGTGCTGTATGTGTGTGCTGTATATGTGTGTGTGCTGTATGCGTGTGGGTGCTGTGTATGTCTGTGGGTGCTGTGTATGGGTGCTGTATGTGTGTGGGTGCTGTATGTGTCTGTGGGTGCTGAATGTATGTGTGTGTGTGCTGTGTATGTCTGTGTGTGCTGTATGTGTGTGTAGGTGCTGTATGTGTGTGTGCTGTATGTGGGTGGGTGATTGTGGGTGTGGAGGTGGGGGTACATTAATTGCTATCCCCCCTCCCTTCTTACCTTTTGTAGGGAGGGGGGATCGTGCTGCTGCTTTCCCTGGTGGTCCAGTGGGAGAGTTCACTCTCGCGAGATTTGAGCGTTGCCGTGGCAACGCTCATATCTCGCGAGAGGAACCCGGTGGAGCTGCCGGCAAGAGCTCCGCCGGGTCCTCTCCTGCCTCCCTCCCTGCATGTGGGTCAGTGGGGAGGGAGGCTGAGAGCAGAGCCGGCGCTCGGATAGCGCCGTCTCTGCATGAGCCGACAGGGGAGATCCTGAGATCTCCCCTGCCGGTCTCAATATACATAGGCGTGCCGCGGGGATTAGGGTGTGCCCAGGCACACCCGGCACACCCCGTGCGCACGCCTATGGTGTTAATGTTGAATCTTCTTAATTTCTTCTTGTCTTCAGTTGATTGATATATATATACTGTATTTTCTGGCGTATAAGATGACTTTTTAACCCTGGAAAATCTTCTCCAAAGTCGGGGGTCATCTTATACGCCGGGTATAGGGTCTATATGGCTACCGGGGTTGCTCACTTCCTTTCAGTCCGGCCGAGAACAGGTAACTGAATCTCCTGTACCGTGCGGTACCCGGCCGGACTAACAGGACGAAGAGGAGCTCGGCCACCCAATCTGCACAGGGAACGGGAGGTGAGAAGATTGTAGGGAGGATTGGGGGGGGAGTAAAAAGAATGGAGGGGGTGGGAGTAAAAAGAATATATCGCAATTAGCCTCCTGTGTGCTAGACCAGCAGGCATGGATTATATGCCCAAACAGCCTGGCACATACCTGGCCTTTAAATGCTATTTCAGATTATCATTATTTAATGTCTTGCTGTGTAGCTCTGTCTGCTCACTGTACATCATGGCTAATTTTTATTTGGTGTGCATTGGAAGAGGGGTAGTCTTATACGGCGAGTATATCCCAAACTCTATATTTTAACTGGAAAAGTTGGGGGTCGTCTTATACGCCCAGTCGTCTTATACGCCGGAAAATACGGTACGTCTTTTGTATATATATTCTTGGGCCAAATGCTCGCCACAATAATATATGTCTATATTATTGAAAAGTAGTAATACGCAATCTGACTTACGGTTTCTTCAGATTTATTCTTTGTTACGGATACATAATAAAACATAATAAAGGATGTTACAGGATTATGGACATTCAACAGCAGATGGTAATTGCTGTACTTCTGATGGGAGAGTTACATCGTTGTACAGAGCCAAGAGCCAAGCCAAGACTGAGCGACCTCGTGTCCCTCTGTTACTATAAAGATGTGCTAATACTAACGTCAGCATATAACTCTAGCCATATAAGGATAAAACCCCCACATCCACATTCCAGAGCTCTCGGACAAAGAAAGCCTTGTGACTTATACCATCTGTTACTTATGTCAATCCACACATCCATATATAATCAATAGAAACATAGAATATGCAATATTCTATAGTGACTGCATATGCTGATAATATGTTATTCTTCAACAGCAACCCCCTGGTCTCCATGCCGAACTTACTGAGAACCTTTGCAGAGTACGGGCGGATATCCAACATGAAACTGAACACGGAAAAATCGGAAGCCATGCCCTTATCCATGGCAGAATCAAGTGTGGCTCATCTGAAATCCCAGTTCACATTCACATGGTGCCGAACACAGCTCAAGTACCTCGGGATTTGGATTACCGCGGACCTGTCGCAACTCTATACCCACAGCTTCGCCCCAATGATGCTCACGCTGAAAAAAGATCTGATGAGATGGTCTTGCCTGTGCGTGTCTTGGTTCGGAATGATGAACGCAATTAAGATGAACCTATTACCGCACCTGCTATACATTTTCCAAACCATCCTGATAAGTATGCCCTCGACATTCTTCCAACACATGGATACAGCTATCTCTGGTTTTATATGGCAGGCCAGACCCCCTAGAATCAAGAGAACGCAGTTACACCAACCAAAGACCCAGGGGGGAGTGGGACTCCCCTCCCTACTGACCTACTATAGAGCAACGCACTTGCACCGCATTGTAGACTGGCATGTTCCGAAGACTAGCAAGAAATGGATACATATGGAACGAGCACAGGCGGAACGGACACTACCAGTGGCAATATGGTTGAGCGGTCAACTGAGGAACCCACGGATCTGGACTCACCCATTCATCAGGGCAACGTTGAAGATCTGGCACCTCATCAGCACCAAACTCTCCTTAACCACGACACTGGGACCCCAACCCTGAAGTAGCAGGAGGACTCACGCCACAGGACGTCAGGATGTTTGGAACGACGGATCAGCCACACATGCAACAGTGGTGCACAGGAGATGCGCTGAAACCGCTACCGGAACTTATACAGGGAAAAACCCAGACGGGCATAGAAAGACTTTGTTATCTCCAGATTAAAGCATACTACATGTCACACAATGGTAGGCGCCTGTTCCACAGGCCGCTTACACAGTTTGAGGAAATCTGCCAAGGCAGAACGCACATAGCCAGAGGCATCTGTATGATCTCCGCGCTACTCCAAGCCGCAGCTCGACCTGAACCAGCAAGATATATGGCAAGATGGGAAGAAGCCACTGGCGCCTCACTTACGGAGCCACAGTGGATGAAAATCCACATACTGACGCACTAAAGCGCAATGAGCTCCAAACACCAGGAACTCAATTACAAGCTGCTGACCGGGTGGTACAGGACGCCTGAGAGGATACACAGAATGAACCTGGACGCACCCAACACCTGCTGGAGATGTGGAGAAGAGACAGGATCGGACATTCATGTATGGTGGACATGTAGAAAAATAGTCCCGTTCTGGAACCAAGTCCATGCCCAGATCAAGAACATCCTAGACACCGATCTCCAACTTCAACCACTCCAGATGCTCCTCCATCACACGGAGATGCCCATATCGAGATATAAAAAGTCGCTCACAAAACACCTCTTAAACGCAGCCAAACTACTTATCCCAACCAACTGGCGGACCGCACGGGAAAGCACCATCCAACAATGGATGGACAAGGTGGAGGAAATCCACGGGATGGAGACCTTCACAGCAACCATGAAGGGAACAGTGGACAAATACATGCAGACTTGGACCCCATGGATGGATTTCATATCACACAGCAGGCTGTAAGACTATCAATCCCCGTGTGTGGCGGGGGGCGTGGGTGGGGGGCGCCACTCCGTGGCGGGGGGTGGGATGGCAGAGGGGAAACACGGAGCGGAGGGCGCGTGGTGGGTCATGAGGGCTCGCCCTTTCCGTGCCGCCCCCCCGACGCTCCCCCAACTTTACCTCCCTTTTTTTTTTTTCTCTCTCCCTCTCCTTCATCTCCCCCTCTCTCTCCTTTCTTTTCTTCTCCCCCCATATATGTTAGCCCGAGTAGACGGGAGCTGCACGGGAACGGGGGCTGAGGGAACGCCCAAGGGCTTCTGAACCACAAAACAAATAATCAAGCGGTCGACCCAAAACACACAAACACAACAAGGGACACCCACAGGCTGGTGAAGGGAGGCAAAATGGGTCTAATCGCCCACACAACCGACGTGACAGAGTTCGAAGATACAGACAGAACATAAACGCGGAAGAAGGTACCCCTGGCACAGAAGGCAGGAACAGACAGCCACGACCACGAGAGATAACTCGCCCCTACCCCGGGACCAGGGACTATCCCTAAGACAAAAGAAGTTAGAACAGGGGAAGCTTTAACACACGCCTACGGGCCTCGAGAAACAAATAGTTACAGGGGGTAACCCCATATTGAAATAGCACATACAAAGGCCGAACAGAAAATGGGCAGACAGCTAGCTAACCAACCTGGTGATCCGCAATCTCACAATACAGTCTTTAACAATCCAACAAAGAATAAATAATATTTCATATCCAGCAGCGTAGGAGAAAATGGCATGCTTCGGTACCAGTAATAATGACCAGCTGCACGTGTAAATAGCATGGCACTTAAACAATATTAGACACAAATGTTTAGAAATGTAAAATTGGGAAGTTATATGTTCCAATGTTTTATTTTGACATATTGACCAAACTGCTCTGTAACCAATAAGCTCAGTATCTTGTACGAATACTTAAATATGAAAATAAAGATTGTCAAAAAAAATAAATACTGTCTTCCATTTCATAAGTCACCATTTCCATCCATCCCTGCTCAGTTCCCACTCCGTCAGACATTCCTGTGCGACATTGCACATTTGCACCCTGTACCTTTTTCAATGACAACTAGTTAAAATCGTCTCTCCCTTCCCCCCATGTACCACTCTTAATATTCTTCATAATCTCAGTCTACTTGATACTGCTCTCTCCTGCTGCTCCTCCTACCTCTCCTAGTACTCTTTCAGTGTTTCCCAAGGTTCAGTCCTTGGTCCCCAACTGTTCTTGATCTATACAGCCTCCCTTGGTAAACTCCTCAACTCCTTTTGGCATCCAATATTATTTCTATGCGGATGATATGAAAATCTATCTATCCTCTCCTGATCTCTTGCCACCCCTCTTGACTCGTGTCTCTAACTGCCTCTCTGCCATTTCTAACTAGATTGCCGCTCACTTCCTTAAACTCCATCTGTCCAAAACAGAACTTATGGTCTTTCCTCCCTCAAGAGTTGCTACTCCCATTTCTGTGTCCCTCTACGTAAATGTCAGACTCGCTGCCTAGGTGTTCTCTTTGACTCTGACCTCTCCTTCACTCCACAAGTCCAATCGATTGCTAAATACTGCTGCTTTGATTGATAAAACAACAGACGCGGCTAAGATGCTGGTGCATGCTGCTATCCTCTCTCGCTTTGACTACTGCAACCGCTTCTCAGTGGTCTTAGGCGCTCCCAACTTGCCCTGTTACGGTCTATAATGAATGCGGCAGCGAGGCTTATCTTCCTGTCCGCCCACACCTCCCATGCCTCACCCCTCTATCAGTCCCTGTATTGGCTTCCTGTAAGATATAGGGCTCAATTTATAATTCTGGTTCTTGCTTATCAATCTCTACACAATGTTGCCAGCCTATCTATCCTCCCTACACAAGTATGTTCTGTGTAGGCCCCTATGTCCTGCCGGAGACCACATCTAGGCTGTACCATCCGTAAACTGCATGTAAGACTTGCAGAACACTTTTGCAATATTAAAAATACAAAAATCTGACCATAGTGTGCCAAGACACTGTGCTAGTTGTCCACAATTCCGATGGAATACTTTTCTGGCCTTTGGAATAGATAAAGTAGAGAGACACTGGAGAGGGGGTAATATTGAGACTTCTCTCAATACGAAAGAAGCCCAGTGGATTTTTAATCTTTAAGTACGGTCTTAACCAGGAAATAGATCTGGCAGGACTAATTTAGTTTTATTTTATTTTTGGCAGGACCTATCTAGCTAAAGTATTCTAGTTTTTTCTACATATTCCTTTTTCCTTTCAAGATGTTTGGTTTATTCATATTAGTGTGATATTAATACACATTTTTTGAGTTGCAGAATTATGGGTCACAATTCAAGAAGGATTCCTATATATATGGGATATTGATCTCTAATTATATATTCACGTGATTTTGCGTTATACATGTTTATACTATTTTCTTTTTATTATTCATTGTATTAATCATTTTTGTAAAAGGTTTAATACGACAGTCGTATACTATACTACCACCCTAGACAAAGATCCCTTTTGCTGCCCCTTCATGTCACTCACTCACTGACAGACACAGAAACTCACTGACAGACATACACTCAATCACTGACAGATACACATACACTCACTCACTCAGTGACACACAGAAACTCACTGACACACACACACATTCACTGACAGACATATACTCACTCACTGACAGACACACACATTAACAGACAGACATACACTTACTCACTGACACACACACACACACATACACTCACTCAATGACAGATATACATGCACTCAATGACAGACACACACATTCACTGACAGACATATACTCACTCACTGACAGACACACAGAGGCAGACACTCACTCACTAACAGACACATACACACACACACACTCACTGACATACATACACTCACACAGACACTCACTCACTGACAGACACACACACACAGGCAGACACTCACTGGCAAACATTCAAACACTCACCTCCCTGGAGTCCAGCGTGGGGCAGCTCCTCACTCCTCCCACCCGCTGTTTAGTATGCCGGGGGCCGGAATGACGTCATATTCCGGCTGCCGGCATCACAGAGGATGCGCGAGGGAGGAGTGAGAGGCTGCAAGAAGAGTCTCCCTCGCCACCTGGCTTCTCCTTCCCCCTTTCCTCCGGTCACCGGCATTTGATGGCAGAGCAAGCACCTGTTATCAAGGTAAGAAGATGGCTGCTCTGCCATACTGTGACAGGGATCCTCTGGGCGCCCCCACCTATGGGGGCCTGGAGGAGCTGCCCGGCGCTGAGGGGGGCGGCTTTAGAGCCGCTCGCCCAGCGCTGCGGCCCAAGAGAGGGGGAGCTCACCAGGAAATATCCTGGTGAGCGCCCCCTGACAATGCCCTATATTCTATGAAGTGATTTCGGCACGTATTCTTTATACCACCATCAACCAGAAGTGACATCAACCAGAAGTGACATTGCTGTCACGGAAGTTCACTATGCGTTCCACAGTGAAACGCACGCCATCAGCTGCCACGGGTTTGACACAATTGAAACAGATATATAAGAAGAATTCAACGAACTATCAATACATATCCCTGAGGAAGTCCAGAACAGGACGAAACGCGTAGGATTTTGCATTAACATTATTTTATGTTTTTTATTTTTCTTTGTTTTTATTGCATCTGTGATCCTGGGATTTCTTCCTGTAATTTGTTGGAGACCTGGATTCCACCTTTTGTGTGGAGACATGCTGTCTGTCATTTGACATTCTGTAAGTGCAATTTGTATTAATAAATGTGTTACTTTTTTATACAATCTGCGCTATCTTTTCTCTTTTCACGTTCTTATTTTGAGCTATTTAAGAAGATATACCTTTATGAAGAAGTCTGTTTCTTTGGAAGATCCTCTCCACCAGCGGATTTACCCCATTACTGAGGGAGACATGCCTGAATTTTCAAACATTGAGTGAGTTCTCTACCACCCTACCCACTCTCCCCCCCCCCACCCTTGTGTTGATTGCTCTATAATTTATTTTTTTCTCTCCTAGATATACATTTCCATAGTGTACGCCACAATTATTATTGAGGTTGTACGATTTTATTTTTCATCTTTGGTGATCTACACACAATATCTTCCGTTTGGTTTTCTTTGTATCTTTAGTACTTGCCGAGTGTTTCAAGGGAACACTTTTTGTGTGTTTAAGAGCAAACAGTGATCATTTTGTTTTCTTAGCATCGAGTTATACAATGCATGAGTAACAGGTTAAATTATGCCTTAATAGAGTAACTTGCATTTATAAAATATATCAATATACCAAGCAATCAGCGTTCTCTACTCAGTAGAGTCTACTGTTCACATGTTATTATCTGGAGTTGGTAAGTATTCTTCCTGGGTTAGTCAGCCGATGCCACATATGGTCCAGGGTAGGTACGTCAGCTCGATATCAGGCTCCGCATCCACTCCCTGCGCCTTCCCCACTCGATATGGTGATATGGAAGTCTGAGAAGATTGCGGCCCTGCCATTCTGCATACCAGGCAGTCTGAAGGAGCAGTTCCACGGGTGTGGGTGACTGTTGGTGGGTACTTATGGCAGCAGAGTCTAATGTGGAGGCCATCTTGGCTGTTAGGCCTCAACTCTCCAGGTTTCTGGTAGGTTGATACCACTCCAAGACACGCATGGTGCTGGAGCTCCTCAGGATAAGAAATTATCCTGAGGAGCTCCAGCACCATGCGACTAGCTCAGTTGGCTGTCAGGCTGCCCCCCCCCCCCCCCACCCCCCCGAATTGCAAAACTTAAATTCACAAATTTGTTACATATTTTTGCCCATCATTAAAGTTGTTTTAAAGTTTGTCTGCCATGCTCTGTACATGCATTACATCTATAGCAGTCGCCCTTCACCTATTTCACCCACATCATGATTACTTTTTCTATTATTTAAACTATTAAAAGCACGCAGACAGGTTATAGGTTTTATTTATTTATTACTGGTATTTATAAAGTGCCAAACATATTCAGCAGCACTGTACAATTGGGAAAAAG